ACATATGTATATATATACAGCTGATCTATCTGATTTGCCAATGTATGTCTAGAACCTTCAACTCTAACAAGCCCAGGTTTGGCACCTAATGCATATTTGTTGACTAATGAACTAATGAATGAATAAACATCCACACAAACCAGGGACATTGCACATTTTCTGTTTTACACTATATTGTGTGCCTTAGTCACTCACAAACCACATTAGAGCATGATAATTATGGCTACAATGCTGGGCGTTTAACCATCCAAGATTGTTTTTATTTGTTTCCCAAAAAGAAAACACAAAGACTTGAGGGTGCTACTCAGAGCCATGCAAGGTATTAGAAAATGCCTCATCAAGGGCCCATCCTCCCCTTCTGATGGTCACCATGGGCAAGAAGTGTCTCCTGTGTTTCACATAGTCTCAGTCAGTTGTCTCACCTTGTACTCAACAGAGGAGCTTTAGACAAGCCCTGACAGGCTGTGACTTGAGTCACTTGCCCTCTGTCCAAATAGGAAGTCTCTGTTTGAGGACTTCCTGAGAACTTGGGTGTGATCAGAATGACAAAATCAGTCATGGGGGCTTGGTCCCTGGGAATAAGAAGGTTATTCAGTGTCCGCTAACACAAGATGGGTCATTAGAAATCTTAGACTCCAGAAAAGGCAATTGTGGGTTGCATAAGGGAGCCTGTCTGTTGGGACAGCCCAGGAGCCTTCTCACTGACTTTTGGTGACATCATTCAAGAGGCTCTACTTGCTGCCCCTGAGTGGAAACACTGTGATGACAATGATGATCTAGGAGTTCCAATGTGTCAGCCCTGGGCTAGGGTCCATTTAGTCCTTCTAGCAATTCAGCAAGAAAGATACTATACACATTTTCCAAAGGAGGAAACTGAAGTTCAGAGAGGTGGAGTGACTTGGCCCAAAGTTCCAAAGTGGTGGAGGTGAGCTCTACCCCCAGCTTCTCTCCTGTCTTAGCTACTCCATCTACCTGCCCATGCCATAGGACGGGCTGGGTAAGACACTGGGAGCCAGAAAGTGACTAATGTTTCAGAGATGTCCTTGGACTTAGCAGGCCACCTGACACCAACGAATGGTTCCTACAAATCCCAAGTTTTGGAACACACTGACCAGACAACAGTCTGGGGCTAGACAGATTCTCACCCACCCTTCACCCTACTCAGAACAAGCCTGGGGTTCAGCCTCCCATGACTATGGGAGTCAGTGAACCCAGCTCAGGGCTTACCCCAAGGAAGCCAGCTGAGAGTTCCATTAGCCCTTGGAAACTGAGCTTTATGATGCATGTAGTACCTATGGCAACAAGAAGCCAACCCAAAATGGAACCATTCTGAACCTCTTTGAACTTAGAAGCCAAGTGAGCTTCAAGGAACTTACCTATGCTGGCATCACTCTAGCTTGGAACCAGCAACTAATGAGCAGTGTGCATAACTTGGGGAGACATGGAGGAACTTGGGGAGACGTGGAGGAACATGAGGAAGCGTCACTGACTTCTAGATTTCTCCCTCCCCATAGTCCTTCCTGAAAGTCCACTATTAGAGTGAGACTTCTGCTGGCCTCCCAGTCTCCCTCCTTATGTGCTAAATCACTTGGACAGGTAATTGCTGCCATCTGCAATTAGCATCAGAACAGGAATTCACTTCTGCCAAGAGATGGTGGCAGACCTGAGAGGATCTAGGCTAGGGACGTTTTCAGAGGGGGAAGTGCAAGTAGGACAAACGGGGATTTTCCCAATGGAGCACCAGGGGAAGATTCCGGAGGACCTAGGAATGAGGGGCGCTGCCCAAAATAGTGAGGGAAGGGCCAAAGAGATGGAATTTTCTGGTCGCACCAACTCCAGAGGTAGGTCCCCTGTCCATCAGAGCTGAAACTCTCCTTAAGCCCTTTCAGAACAGGAATAGAATCCACAGGTGGGGATTAAGAGTGTCACAGCTGGAAACAGACCTACAGAATGAGGGAGCCTATGCCTCTCATTGTACAGACGGGGAAAGCAAGGTCCAGAGAGGTCACATCATTTGACAAGGTCACAGAGCAGTGGTCAAGGTATGACTGAGCCACTTTCCTTGCTGCAAAGATAAGGTTTGGCCAAGGCAGCCATGAGGAGGCAGAAAAGGGAAGAGAGTTAAGATGTTAATGATGTATTGTTCTCAGCTGCCGTCAAGTTGGCCCTGACCCATGGTGATCCCATGCACTACGAAATGAAATGCTGTCTGGTTCTGCACCATCCCAACATTACTGGTTTCAGATTGGACCGTTGTAATCCACAGAATTTTCCTTGGCTGATTTCTGAAAGTAGATCACCAGGCCTTTCTTCCTCGTCTGTCTGAGTCTGGAACCTGTTCAGAATCATACAAGCCTCCACTGACAGGGGGATCGTGGCTGTGGATGAAGTGCGCTGGTTGGGAATCGAACCCATGTCTTCCACGTCAAAGGCAAGAATTCCACCACTGAACCACCAGTTTGAGGGGCAAATGAACAATCCCCAAAAGATATTTTTCAGGAAAAGCTCAAGATAAATGACAGAACAATATTTAATGCAAACCAAGTGCAAAACCTGTGCCACCCCTCCCCCAAAAATATCCTTAGCAGAACCCTGTCCTGGCAGAAGGGCAGTGTTTGCACAGGGAGTCAGTTTGGGGGGTGGGAGTGCCTGGGAGGCCAGGACAGAGGGAAGAGGTAACTACGGGGAGGAAGCGGGAAGAGAGCTGTTGCATTGTGGAGAATGACAGTCAATGTCATGAAAGAAAATATGTATGAACTGTTGCATGGAAAATGAATTCTGTCTGTAAACTTTCACTCAAATCACAATTAAAAAAAAAAAAAAAAAAAACCCTGTCCCGGTACCAGAGGAACATTTCTCTGTATTTCATTCTGGGCCTTCTATAAATGACTGAATTTCGCCATTAGCCTCCTGTGAAATTTCCGTTAGGGCTTGTCTGACTCAAAATGGGACTCCTGCCCACCCCTGCCCTCACCAAGTGGGTTACAGAACTTAAGAACAACCACATTGTCAAGGGATAATAGAACCATGAGCCTTCTGGTGAATTCTACTAAACATTCAGAGAAAAACTGACACCAATTCCACTCACATTATTCCAGAACATAGAAAAGGAGGGAATCGTCCTGAATTCATTTTATGAAGTGAGCATAACCCTGATACCAAAGCCAGGCAAAGACATCACTATAAAAAAAATATATAGACCAACATCCCTCATGAGCAAAGACACATAAATTTTCAACAAAATCCAGGCCAAGAGACTCCAACAACATATGGAAAACATAATATATCATGACCAAATGAGACTCATATCAGGTATGAAAAGATGGCTCAACATTAGAAAAACAATTAATATAATCCACCACATAAATAAAACAAAGGGGAAGGACCACATGAGCATATAAATTAATGCGGAAAAGGCATCTGACAAAATGCAACACTCATTCCTGATAAAAACTCTGAACAAAACAGGAATAGAAGAGATATTCCTCAACATAATTGTTGTTGTTATGTGCCATTGAGCTGGACCCGACTCATGGCGACCCCTCCTTGGGTTTCCAAGGCAGTATCACTATGGAAGTAGATTGCCCAATCTTCCTTCCGAGGAGTGGCTGGTGGGTTTGAACTGGCAGCCTTGTGGTTAGCAGTCAAGTGCCTTAGGCACTATGCTATCAAAACTCCTTCAACATAATTAAGGGCATGGTTACAAAACCAAGGCCAGCATTATTCTCAGTGAGGAGAGACTGAAAGCATTCCCCTTAGAAACAGGATCCAGACAAGGACCACCATTCCTATTCAGTCGTGTATTTCAATATTGAATAGAGCTAGGGGATACAGCATGGTTTAAAATCAGGAAGGGAGTGTGTCAGGGTGGTATCCTTTCACCATACTTATTCAATCTGTATGCTGAGCAAATAATCCAAGAAGTCAGACTATATGAAGAAGAATGTGGCATCAGGATTGGAGGAAGACTCATTAACAACCTGAGATATGCAGACAACACAGCCTTGCTTGCTGAAAGTGAAGATGATTTGAAGCACTTACTGATTAAGATTAAAGACTACAGTCTGCAGTATGGATTATACCTCAATATCAAGAAAACAAAAATCCTAACAAGCACCACGATAAATGACAAAAAAAAAAAAAAAAAGATTGAAATTGTCAAAGATTTCATATTACTCTGTTCCACAATCAACACCAATGGAAGTAGCAGTCAGGATATCAGACAATGTACTGCACTGGGCAAATCTGCTGCAAAAAGCCCCTTTCAAGTGCTGAAGAGCAAAGATGTCTCTTTGAAGACTCAGGTGTGCCTAACCCAAAGCCATGGTATTTTCAGTCACCTCATATGCATGTGAAAGCTGGACAATGAATAAGGAAGACTGAAGAAGAGTTGATGCTTTTGAGTTGTGGTGCTGGTGAAGAATACTGAAAGTACCATGGACTGCCAGAAGAACAAACAAATCTGTCCTGGAGGAAGTAAAGTTGGAATGTTCCTTAAAAGGCTGGAAATAGAAATACCTTATGATCCAGCAATCCCACTACTAGGTATATATCCTGGAGAAATACGAGCCATGACATGAACAGATATATGCACATCCATGCCCATCACACACTATTCACAATAGTGGAAAGATGGAAACAACCTAAATGCCCCTCAGTGGAGGAAAAGATCAACAAACTATGGCACATACACACAGTGAAGTCGTATGCAATGCTAAAGAACAATGATGGGTCTGTAAAATGTCTCATAATGTGGATGAACGTAGAGGACATTATGCTGAGTGAAATTAGTCTATCAAAGAAGAACAAATATTGAAATCACTCTTCTAAAATGTCAAGGAAAGGGCTTCATACAAAAATAAATATTCTTTGATGGTTATCAGAGGTGAAAGGGAAAACCATTAACTAGAGGGTAGACACACACTAACTTGGGTGAAGGGGAAGGCAAAAATAATCATAGTAATTCAAGGGGAGGAAACAGAAACTTAGCAGCAACAAACTTTCCACTTATCACCATGGTGTTTGAGGACAAAGGCTCTTAGCCAAGAACGAAAGCTTCTTTTTCTGTCATAGAACAACCTATTCCTTGTAAAATAATAATAGCAACAATGATAATAGTTGCATCTATCTGACTTGTAGGCTAATAGTTATACCTTCAATATCTTGTTTAATCCTCTCAACAAGCCTGTGATACGATTAGGATGTGGTGAACAAGGTGATGGTCTTCATCCCAGGAACCCTCCCTTCACCAGCCCCCCTTTTTCCTCCACCTAACCTCAACACTTTATTATGACTTCCAGTTCAGAGGCGATATGGTAACACTGGATTATTGTGTTTGAAAATAATAAAATATGATTAAAAGAAAAAAAAAATCAGGGGCCCTGAGGAGGTTGTGCACGAGGGGGACGAGGTGTGCACCTGAGCTCCCGTCTAGGTTCTGCCATTGGCCGATTGTGATGGCATCCCAATGAGAGAGCAATTATCAGGACAAGTGTCAGATTCAAGATCGGCGTCTTGTTTGTACACAAGGTCCAGTTCTTGCAGGACTGGTTACATGACTGGAAGTCAAGCCCTACCTCAGAAGGACAGAGACTCATTATTTTGGTCTCCCCTCTTTCTTTTACCCATTTTCAATAACGGGGATAGGGACTAGAATTGTCATTCATGATCTTCTACAGACATCAGTCCCCTTGGATATATCAATGAGCTATCATTCAGTGTTCATCACAGGGAGATGTTCTCATCCCCCAACTGAAGGAAAAGGAATTTCAGGATGAGAAAGGCTGAATGACTTGCTCAAGGTCACACAACCAGGAAGGGGTACAACTGGGACTTGAACCAGGGCACTTCAGCCTCAGTGTGTGCATTACCTACCACCATGCTATGGTGCCTGCACCCTCCACAGCAAACCCTTCACTTGACAAATGGGGATTTTGAGGCCCAGAGAGGCCAAGAAAGTCCCTCCAGGTTATATGGCTAATTAGTAGCAGAGCTGGGGCTGGGTAAGGGAAGAGGATGATTTCTTACTGGCTTCTTGGGAGAACCTGCCAGAAATAAGGTGTGTGTGTTTGTTGGAGGAGCTCTGGTAGCGTAGTGCCTGAGGCATGTGACTGCTAACCAGAAGGCTGGTGGTTCAAACCCACTAGCCGCTCCTCGGAAGGAAGGTTGGGCAATCTACTTCTGTAGTGATACCACCTCAGAAACACAAGGAGGGGTTTCTGTGAGTCAGGTCCTACTCAATGGCAGTGAGTTTGGGTTGTTTTAGTGTTTGTTGGAGCTGTTGAGTTGATTTTTGAGTAGCCTTCCATGACAGAGCAAAACTGCCCCACCGGGTTTTCTAGCCTATAACCTTTACAGGAGCAGATCAACAGATCTTTCTCCTGTGGAGTGACTGGAGAAAGCCAAGCTTTCGGTCAGCTGCAGAGCTCTCAACCATTGTGCTACCAGGACTCTGTAAGGTATGTGTGGTGTGGGAGGGGGAGTCATTAGAGCTGATCCAAGGATTCAAACTCTGTGGGTGAGAGAGCTCAAAAGAGGTGGTGGCACTTGGGAGGAGACCCTGGAGGCCCCAGAAGCCCCCAGTAGCAGTGCACACCCTGGTCGCCCAAGCGATGGTGCAGAACACACTCACCTCTTCTGCTTCTTCTCGAGCTCGTGGTTTCGGCTTTGCTGGTTCTCGAGCTGGACACGGGTGTCCTCCAGATCACAGGTCAGATGGTGGCACTTCCTCTTTAGTTGGTGAGCCATCTTCTTGGCCCCCTCATAAGCAGTCTGCAGCTCCCCAAGCTGTGGAAGCAACAGAATGAATTACCCGCCTCTGCTGGAGCTGAACAGGGCTTTGTATGTTATATTTCTGGGAGCTTCCATTTCCAGGGTGGGTGTAATGGAAAGACAGCTGTTACTGGAGCCAGAGAGCCCCTGTCTTGGCCATTTTCTACCTGTGTCACCTTGAGAAAGCTACATTTTCTGAGCCTCAGGTTGCTCAGGGGCAAAATGGGGGTGAGTCCACCAATCTCTTCTCAGCTCCTTGTCAAGTCAGCCCCCAACTCATGGCGACCCCATAGGTGACGAAGTGGTACTGCTCCATAGGGTTTTCCTTTTTAACTTTTTATTGTGATTTGGGTGAAATTTTACCAAGCTGATTTGTTTTACATTCAACAATACACATTTTGTTTTGTGACACTGGTTACAATCCCTGCAGTGTAACAGCTCTCTTCCTACTTCCTCCCTATGGCCACCCTTTCCCTGTGTCCTTCTTGCCTATGCATTCCTGCCTCCTAGCTTTCTCCCTGTTGCAAATGCTGCCCTTCTGATCTCCTGTGGGTGACTGTTCTAAGCATCTCCTTAGTGTAGGTGTTCAGCTCATAGTCCTGCTGAAAGTTAGCTATGGGAGTGAGTCTAACTCCAGGACATAGGGTTTTCCTGACTGTAATCTTTATGGAATTAGTTCACCCAGTCCTTTCTTCCCTGGCACAGCTGGTAGGTTCAAAAGTCTCCCCTTTGGGTTAGCAGTCAACTGCAAACTGCTTGTACCACTCCTGTCAATTTCTTAGGCTTGGTTTTACTTTTTCCTTGATTGTTCTCCTGGCAACATGTCCACAGATACTTTCCACACTCTGCCTCAACCTGACAGCCCCATGAGCACCATATGATTAATATCCTCATCATCTGATATAACCTAGGGAGCTGTGTGAGGATCAGCCATGGAACAAGGAGCCCTGGTCACCTGTTAACCAAAAGGTTGGTGGTTCCAACCCACCAGCTGCTCTATGGTAGAAAGATGTGACAGTGTGCTTCTGTAAGATTTACAGCTTTGGAAACCCTTGGGCAGTTCTGCTCTGTCCTAAGGTGTTGCTATGAGTCAGAATCTCAACTCCATAGCAGGTAGCAGGTAGCCAAGGAATATCCAAAATGGCCTTCCTAGGAAATCTGACCAGGAACCCCTCCTCCACTAAGAGGCCCTAGAGATGAGAGCAAGGGATGGCACGTTAGCCTGGCTGAATTACATGGGAATGAGTGCAGCCTTAAACAAATACCAAAGCCAAGCCTCTCCCATCTTCCACCAAGAAACACCCTCCCAAATGTCCTAGTTTGGATCTGGGGAAGAGCACGACTCAGCACACTCACTTGGAAGAAATGGCCTCATTAAAGAATTGCTTTAAATAAGAAAACGCTGAGTTAATGAAGCCTGTAATTCTAAATTCAGTATTTGAAGGCAAATGGGATGTTTTCTTATAATCCACCACTCAGAAAAGGTTGTTGCTTTATTACTTTTTAATGTAGCCTGAATATCCCCATCCTTGGAGAAACTGACCTGACTTTATAATTTGTTATTAAAGAACTGGGCTGCTTCCCTGTGGTTGTCCTGTGTTTATCTACAGTTCAGAATGTCTTTTGATCATAATTTAATGCCTGTCTTGGAAGCCACCACCAGTATCCATGGAGGGTACTGTGCTTTGCTTCCATTGTTTATAAAACCCCATGTAGCTCAGCCTTGCCCATGTCTGCAAGGTGATCACACAACCCTTTCCTCTGGAGTCCTTGGGCGGTACAAATGGTTAATGAACCCAGCTGCTGACTGACAGGTTTGAGTTCACCCACAGGTACCTTGGAAGAAAGGCCTGCCATTCTACTTCCCAAAAATCAGCCACTGAAAACCCTACAGAGCACATTTCTACTCCGACACACATGGGATTGCCATAAGTCAAAGTCAACTCAATAGCAAGTGGTTTACAGGCATACCAGTAACACAGGTAAATATGACCTCCACCTTTACGACATTTCATCTACAAGGGGAGACCAAGAAGGAAGCAGGTAAGGACGATCCAGCACAACAAGACTTGGGAAAACAATTCAGGGATATCCAATCCATTCTGCATCAGAGAAGGCTTCTTGGTGGGACTGACTTTTAAGCTTAGGTTTTAAGACTAATTGGAGTTATCGAGTTCTGGTGGCATAGTGCCTAAGGCACCTGACTGCTAACCAGAAGGCTGGTGGTTCAAACCCACAAGCCACTCCTCAGAAGGAAGTCTGGGCAATCTACTTCCATAATGATACTGCCTCGGAAACCCAAGGAGGGGGTGCTATGAGTTGGATCCAACTCGATGGCAGTGAGTTGAGGGAAAGGTAGAGTAAGAAAGGGTTCCTGGGAAGAGGAAACAGCATGTGCAAAGGCCCAGAGCTGAGAAAGAACACGGCATCTTCTGGCAGAAGGAAACTGAGAGTGCCTGGTGTCAGTGGTGTGCTGGAGCCACTTATACCAGCTTGTGAGGCTGATCCTGCACATCTCCTTCCAACTCCTCACTCAGGCACGTTACAAGAGTACTTTGAAATCAGCCATAATGGGAGTATTTACACCATGAAAACTGGCAAATGCTACCGAGCTCGCTTTTCTTTTTTTTTTTTTTTTTTCTTTCTTTCCCAGCACACTACTGTTAGAGCACAGACTGGTTAGAGTGTAAACTATAGGAGGTTGAAGACAACAGCAGCACAGGTACAGAGGCCAATCACTGCATTCACTAGAAAAGCTTGATGAGATTATATTTGTAAAGTCTATCTACAGGTAAGGCACTTGACTGCTAACCGGAAGGTCAGTGGTTCAAACCCACCAGCTGCTCTGTGGAAGGAGGACTGGGTGATCTACTTCCATAAAGATTTACAGTCTTAGAAACCCAATCCACCATGTGAGTCCACACAACTGGCAGTCATGGAACAATCTAGAGGACACTAAGAAAGATCCTTTCAACAGAAGATGGTGTGGGAGTAACTCTGCAGAGACAACCAAACATGTTGTGAGAGAGAATCACCAGGCCTGGGGGCTCAGGACCATAGTTTCTTGGGGGACATCATGCTTAATTGGCACACACAGTTCATAAAAATTTTGTTCTACAACCTACTTTAGTGAGTAGCAATTGGGGTCTTAAAAGCTTTCCAGCGGCCACTTAAGATGCAACTATTGGTCTCCTCTAGGCTGGAACAAAGAAGAGTGAAGAAAATCAAAGTCACCTGGAAACAATTAGTCCAAAGATAAGATGGACCACAGGGACCTCAGCTTCTAAGACCTGAGATCAGAAAAACTAGATGGTGCCCATCTACCAATACAACCACTCAGAAAGGGATGAAACCTGGAGATCCTGGATAAAGTGGAAGGAAAATCGTGGAACAAAATTCAAAAGCACAAAAATGACCAGAATTACTGGTTGGAAAGAGACTGGTAGAACTCCTGAGACTATAGCCCCAGGTTACCCTTTGAGCCTAGAAATGGACTCATTTACATAGACTGGTTCTCAGCCCAACATTAGAAAAACCCACATACAGAGCACCTGCTCCAGGTCAATGGACCCAACTACTCTAGGGAGATGCACCTGTTGGATCAAGCAGCCATGAGACACCAGAGGGTAGCATTCACACAGAGGGAAGGCTGGACAGACAGGAATGCATGGAGGAGAGGGACACAGGGAGGGGGTGGTCACAGGGAGGAGAGAAGAGGATAAATTTTTTTGCAGTTGGGGATGGTACTCAGGGCCATGAAACCAGATGTGCATGAACTGTTGAATTTAAAACAAGTTCGCTATGTAAATTTGCACCCAAAGCACAATAACAAATAAATAAAAAGAAAGAAAGAAGGATCCCTTTGGCAGCAGCAGGGCAGGTGGTAGAGGGAAGAGGCTGGAGGCTAGGAGGCTGTTGCTTTGGTCTAGATGGGAGATAGAAGTGGAGGTTGGAACAATGGCAAATGGGAATGCAGAAGATGCGGCTGTTTAAACAGTATAATTACAATCACTTTATGGGGGAGAAATCTGAGTCCCAAAAGAGAAAGTGATTTCCACGAGACCAAAGTACCAATAGGAGTTAGAAGCCCTGAGTTAATAATGTCCAGGTTCTTCACACCACAGAGTAACCACACACACACACCCAGGAGACACACATGTGGGGATAATATCTTCCATCTCCTACTGTGACCAGCATTTGTAATAAAAGTTAAAACTCCTTCTTCCTCCCAGGTTCAGCCAACAGCTTGATCACCCTCAGTGGATGTAAGAAGCCGGAAAACCCTGTGACCCACACTTTCTGCTCCTTCTTACCTTCTGCTCCAGTTCTTTCCTGGACGTAGTCTCGGAGTCCAGCCTTTCCTCGCATTGCTGGAGACGCTTTCTGAGGAAGTCGTTTTCCATCTGCGCACAGTCAAAACGCATCTGCCATTCGTCAGCTGTTGAACAGAGTCAGGGAGGCCGGGAGGGGAGACCGGCAGCACATAAGGAAGGAGAAAGAGCAGCTCCCTCTACTTTCTCAGCTCTTAGCATGTAACGTCTCAATTTTCACACAGCTCCTGAAGCTTGACCTCAGCCTTTAGGTTAAAAAATCTTGTCTGAAGTCCAAGTTTCAAAAAAATAAAACACTTCCTGCCCTAACCACCTCCAGCTTTCTGAATTTCTTGATTGCTCTCTTGGTTATAAGCTTGGTTGCCTTATACTCTTTGACTGTCTCTACAACTCTGCACATTTATACAATGTACAACTCTTAAGGGCAGCAGAGCTGTTTTAGCCGTCTGTGAGTTCTCAACACTCCCTAGAAACACTCAAGGTTTCCCATATATGTTGATATGGGTTCACCAATTGCTTAATGAACCTAATAAAATGAGAGGCCAAACGACCCATCTGTATGGAATCTATTGGCCAACCTCATCAAGTAGCACCAAGTATGTGATTAGTGACACACCAAGTATGTAATTAGTGACAGTTGCTTAAGTGAATAAACGATAATGTTGAAGTCCTGACCCCTGGGACCTATGAACATGATCTTAGTTGGAAATAGGTTCCTTACAGAGGTAAGCAAGTTAAGATGAGGCCATACTGGATTAGGGTGGGCCTTAATCCAACGACTCATTGTTGTTGGGTGTTAGTGAGTCAATTCTGACTCATGGTGACAATGTCACTGAGTAGAACTGCCCATAGGGTGTTCCTGGGTATATTCGTTACAGAAGGAGATTCCCAGGTCTTTCTCCCATGGAATTGCTGGGTGGGTTCGAACCACCAACCTTCCAGTTAGCTGCCAAGTGCTTAACTGTTGGACCACCAGAGTATCCTTAGAAGAAGAGGTAAATATGAAGAGAGACACACACACAGGGAGAATGCCATATGAAGATGGAGACAAAGATTGGAGGGATGCATTTACAAGTCAAGAAACACCAAGGGCTGGCTGCACCCACATCAGCTGAGCAGGGGCAAGGAAAGATTCTTCCCTCAAACCTCCAGAGGGAGGGTGGCCCTGCCTACGCTTTGACTTTGGACGTCTGGCCTCCAGAACTGTGAGAGGTGAAATTTCTGTTGTCTAAGCCTCACAATTTGTGTTAATTTATTACAGCAGCCACAGGCAATTAATGCAAACCCCGTCAGTGCTGGGTGCATGCAGGGGTGGGTTATTCAATAAGCAAGTTTAAACACAGGCTCACTTATGCTTACTGACTAATCTGTAGTGCATGGTTTCACACACAGTGAAAAACGTGAAGTGCGCACTACAGATTAGTAACTAAGCATATGTAAGCCTGTGCCTACCTTGCTTATTAGGTCTTCTGACACTGGGTGCAGACTACAAAAGTTTCTCTTTAAATACATAGCCACACAAGGAGGAACAATTTTTCTTTTTTTAAATAATTTACACTCCAGCCTGATGCATAGAAGGGGTTATGATGGCACTTCAATAAACCAAAAAACCAACCTCACTGCCGTCAATTCTATTTGACTCATAGCGACCCCTCCTTGGGTTTCCAGGGCGGTATCTCTACGGAAGTAGGTTGCCCAACCTTCCTTCTGAGGAGTGGCTGGTAGGTTTGAACCGCCAGCTTTCTTCTGGTTAGCAGTCAAATGCCTTAGGCACTATGCCACCAGAGCTCCCTGGCATTGCAACGGTCTGATTAAAATGTTTTATTTCTTCTTTCAACTTTCCGATATTTTAGAATTTGTCTATAATGAGTATATAATGCTTTCATAATGAAAAACAAAGCGTGTGTGGGTTCATTTCCTGGAATGAGCAGCCCGAGCTGAGAGCCTCTGCAGCCCAGTGACTAATGTGTTCATGTGCTCAGCACATCTCCCCTCTCATTCAACTTCCATCTCGTTCCAGAGAAGACAAACTGGGGAGCACCATTTAGGCATGGACCACAGTCTGGAGGCAACAGGTGTGGATCGTCTTCTGAGAAAACCGCACCATCCCACACTCCTGGTTCTAGGTGAACACCTTCCTGTCACGGCATGGACCCTGCCTGGTTGGGTCTCCCATATCAGGGGCCCTCAAACTGCTTCACATTACCCCCTTGTAAATGCCTCCTCCAGGGGTAGCCAGGAGGGGATGACAAGAGAGGAGCTGGAAGTGAATGCAGCTTGGCCCTGCTCCATCATCACCTGGCCTCCATTCCTCTGAGTGTCCCTGACATTCCTCGGGTGTGAATTCTCCAGGGGGGCACTGAAGGGATGATGCCAATGTTTTACAAAAGCCGACATGCTGGGCATCCTTCTCACCTGACTCCTTGGGACTGAAGTGAGAGGCACAGTGGCAAAGTGACAGAGATGTCACCATGCCCATCCACCCATGGATCATGAGTCTCCAAGAAACTGAGTAAGTTGGGTGCCACCAGAAACCCCTGCAAAAGTTAGGAGTCCTTTCCTCTCCTCTTCATTCATTCAGAAACTGCAGAGCCACTGACACAGCTTTGTTATTTGTAAATTGGGGATAAACTCAAACCCACTGCCACTGAGTCAAAGGCATCTCACAGAGACCCCTATTGGGTTTCTAAGACTATAAATATTTATGGAAGCAGACTGCCTCATCTTTCTTTCACAGAGCAGCTGGTGGGTTTGAAGCACCAACCTTTCGGTTAGCAGTCCAATTCCTTAACCATTACACCACCAGAGAGCTCCTTACATTGGACGTAGCATACTCTGTGAAACTGTCATGAGGCTGGACAGTGGTCCCACTACTACTGGCAATAAAAATGATCTAGCAGCTAACGGTTACTCAGCACTCTGTGCCAAGCACACGGCTACACACTTGTTATTTACCACCTATCACTATACCCATTTGAAAGATGAGGAAACTGAGGCACAACAATTTATTTTCCCAAAGTAACTCATCATGTAAGTGTGGATTCAAAACCAAAGATGTGACTTCATAGATTTCATTTTTACCCACTAAATCACCTTTCTCAAAATTTCTACAAATATTTGCATAGAAATATAAAAGTGCCTTGCCCATAGAACAACTATTTTTATTATTGTCTACATTATTACTAAACAGCACCTGTCACAGTGATAATGCATTTTTTGGGATAATGTTGGATTCTCCAGCTAACTTATCATTCTTCCATTAGACTATAAGCTCCAGGGGGGCCAGGGATATGTCTTTTGCTCTTTGCCGTGGCCTCAGCCTCTAAAGTAGTGTCTAGCACATAGGAAGCATTCAGTTTGTGTCTAGAAATGAATGCATGACAAGCCAATGAATGAATGAGCAAATAAAAAGCCCCCACAGTCCCAGTCTGCTTACCTCCTCCAGCGTGACTTCTTTCCAAGTCTTTCAATTGAATTTTCTGCTGAGCTTCTTCCAACTGCTTCCCCACTTCCCCCAGACTCTTCTGCACTTGCTCATACGTGGTCTGCAAGAGAGGCTCAGAGTGTATCACAGGATCGAGGCATACACAGGGTTGAGGCATACACATGTTACAGGCATACACAGGATTGAGGTGTACACAGGGTCGAGGTGTACACAGGTTAGTAGTATACACAGGATCAAGGTGTACACAGGGTCGAGGCATACACAGGGTTGAGGCATACACAGGGTCGAGGTATACACCGGGTCAAGGTGTACATTGGGTCGAGGTATACACAGGAGCTAAGGGGAAGCCTGGGCTGGCCACCTGCTTCACAGTCTCACCCCTGGTACTTCCAAGACCAACACGTCTTGTTGTCAGCTGCCACTGTGACTCCTGGTGCCCCCATGCACAGTACCCAAATGCTGCCCAGTCCTGCGCTTCCCCTGATTGGTCCCAGATCAGACCATAGTGATCCATGGGGTTTTCGCTGACTGCTTTCTGGAAGTAGACTGCCAGGCCTTTCTTCCTAGAACGTCAGTCTGGAAGTTCCACTGAAACTTGTTCAGCATCACAGCAACGCCCAGGGCGCCACTGACAGATGGGTGGTGGCTGCTCGTGAGGTGCGTTGGCCAGAATTGAACCTGGGTCTTCCATATAAACCAGAAAAATAAATTCACTGCCATTGAGTCAATTCAACTCACAGTGACCCCTCCTTGGGTTTCCAAGGCAGTATCTCTACGGAAGTAGATTGCCCAACCTTTCTTCCAAGGAGTGGCTGGTGGGTTTGAACCACCAAACTCCTGGTTAGCAGTCAAATGCCTTAGGCACTACACTACCAGAGGTTCTACCAATGAACCACCACTGCTCCCATAAGAGATCCAAATGGTCCCCAGGACCTTGGGCATGAGACTCAATAACCTGTGCATCTTGTACAGTGAGCATAGTCACCGGGACATGAGCCCAGGGGAGCAGTCCCACCCACTCCCAGCCACCCTGTTCAGCCCCCACCAGCCCCTCACCTTCAGCTCCTGGACTTCCCTGAAGGCTCTCAGCCTCTCTGCCCGCTCGTTCTCCAGTGCCTGGCAGGCCACGTCACCTTTGAAACGCTCATCAGCAAGCTCTGTGGTCAAGTCTGCAATCTGGAAAAGGGGGTCAAGCATGGGACAGCCAGCCCCTCTATCCCCATCTACACGCCACTGGACCATCCTTGGAAAAAAACACTGGCTGTCATTGGAGACCTGGTGCCTGGGGGAAGGAAGCAAACAGCATGCACTCATCTACTGATCTAAAGGTTGGTTGAACCCATACAGTGAGGAAGAAAGGCCTGGCAATCTGCATCCACGAAGATCACAGCCAGGAAAACCCTGTGGAGCAGGTCACCATGAGAGGGAATCGGCCCCACAGCAGTAGGTCCTTTTTATCATTGAAAAGCCACCTTTCAGTCCTGCCAGACAGTTATGAGTATGCATTTCAGAATGTGATTGGCTTGCTCTGTTGGAATTCTTAGTTCAACAGTTACTAGTTGCGTGGCTCTGAACAAGGCAGGATGCCTATCGGTTCTCAGTGATCTCAACTTTAAAGGGGAGAAATAACATATTATTGTATGAGTGTTAAATAAAGCTTTAAAGAGTTAAATATAAAGCTTAACCAAGTGCCTGGCACACAGTAAGTGCTCAATAATTAGCTATTCTAGTAGAAGCCATTCCTAACCAGCCTTTGGTAAACCATCTCAGTGTGCTAACACACATGTGGACACACATGGACACACACTTGGATGCACATGCACACACCATACACACATGCACACACTCATGCATGTCCGTATGCAGTATGTACACACATGTACACATGTGTACACACATGTACACACTTACACACACATATACCCTCTCATCATGCACACATACACACACAGACACAGTGGCCAACGGCCATCACTCATGAATGCTCTCCACTGTAAACCTCCCACCATTCCCTGGGGCAACTCTGCTCCCACCAGAGGACTCAGGCACACACGGTATCAATTGTGTTTGTCCCCAACCTATTTATGCCAGCTGCGATTTTACTGAAATTACCAAGTCAGTTAGCTAATAAAATACGACTGGACAAAGAATTTCCATGAAAACCAGGTTGCACACTTTAGAAGGAATGGCTAAGGGTGAGCTACTTTTTAAAACGTGCTGTCAAACAGGCATGGGAGAGACACCTCTAAAACCCTTAGAGTGTAACCTTAGGTTTCTGCATTCTTACTCTGCCATTTAGGAGCTCTGGTAGCATAGTGCCTAAGGCACTTGACTGCTAACCAAAAGGATGGCGGTTCAAACCCACCAGCCACTCCTCAGAAGGAAGACTGGGGAGAAGGGCGGGGCAAGATGGTGGACTAGGCAGAAGGATTGCACAGACCCTCTTCAACAAAGAAAAGGGAAACCAATTAACACAG